AAAAAAAAAAAAAAAATTCTTCTGAAAATAATAACAACACATATCAATGATGAAAAAAGAAATAGAAATAGAAAATTTAGAGATTTAATTAAGTCAGTCATATAACATCCGTCAGTTGAACATTACTGATCATTTTTGGTTGATTATTTTAACATTGATGTGTATATATTTTTATTTTACATTCTCCTCCTTTTTTGTTTTTTTTTTCCTCCCCCTCCTCCTTCTTTTTCATTTCCTTTCTTTTTTCTTTTTTTTTTTTACAATTAAATTTACAAGCTGTCACTGATGGAAGAGACAGTTTTTTGCTTTTTTTTTCCCCCCTTGTTGGCCGCTTCATTTCTTTCACTGCACAGATCGTTCACTAAGCAACTATAAATGATATGTTGGTGGTCAATACATTCTGTTATATACAACTTTTGAAGGTTTTCTACTTATATGTTAATGGCACAAATAACAAGAAAAAAAAAAAGCTTTTTTCTGCCCTGAAAACTTTGCTTTGTGCTGACAATGTTTATCTGATACCTATGGAAGCTGTAATTCCACTTTCTTATTCTTTGCTCTTCTTTTTGTCCTTGTTTTAGTTTCAATCTTTTCAATCTATTTCCCCCCCATCTTTTACCCTCCTCTCACTTTCACTGCCTACGATTTCCATGAAAAAATGAAAAAAAAACTGAAAAAAAGATAAATTAGCAAAAAAAAAAAAGAAAGTTTTTACATGACAACCTTCTGATCGTTTCAGGTAGTCAGTCATAAACAACAACTACGAAATTAATGCTTCAAAAAAAGCACAAAAAAAAACAGAACTTTGAAAATGTCTATAAAGCATTACTAACTGTAAAAAAGTTAAGCAAAAAAATTCTCTTAATACATAGTTAAAAAAAAGTGTAAAATTTTTTAGCTAAAATTCTATATTTTTTTATTTCTAATAGATTAAAATAATTGGTCTATTCAGCCAATTAGCCAAATTCAGTTATTAAATGCTTCTGAAAATAAATAGGCACAAATATAATAAAAAATAAAATATTCACAATAATCCACCATCATTGTTAGCTTAGTTTCTGCCTGACACCATCAATATCACACACATATCTGAACAAAAGATTCCATATTCAGCCATAATCCCCCCTACCCCCCCCCTCCCGTCAAACTTTTATGCAGATTTTGGTCAAAAATGTTGAAAATAACAAATGAATAAAAAGAAAAAGAAAAATAAAACTTGAATACAGACACACAAAATTGTTTAGCTGAATAATGGAATATAAATGTTTGCAAGCATACAGCATTTTTTTACCTTTAATAAATGTGCATCAAACTTAAATTAATGAATAAAACTTAAGTAAACATGAATAAAAAAATTTTGTTATGTAAAAACTTTTCAACAGTATATTACCAACCATTTTGCAGCAGTAATAATCAAATGTTGTAGCCAAAAAAAAAAAAAAAAAAAAAA